TAACGGGCTCGGTAGGTATTACCCTCCGCGAGCGCGATGCGGCGAACAGCGGCAAGGTCGTTTCGTTCGCCAAACGGAAGGCGATAAACGGTCTCGGTTACTACATCCCTCGTTTCGACGGCCAGTCCACGGATGAAGTAGTTCACCAGCGCGGCGTCGGAGAACACGGCGATACAGGAGTACGCGAGATCTTCGAGTCGATCTGCGTACACGTTTTCGTTTTCATGCGGAAGTTGACGAATCGTAGCGACCTTTTCGTACGCATCGTTGAGAACGTCGTCCGTAAGATAGCGGCGGATCAACAGGTTCACTAACCCGGGCCACGAAATTGACCCAGCGCTCCGTAGCGAACCGGATCGTAACGCTGTCATCGTGTAAGGAGTGTACAGGCGTTCCGCGTCACGCTCCAAGAAATGAGCGATGACTCGTACAGCTACGCCCTCGTTGAGGCGCTGTGCGTTAAAGGTGATGCTGATGTCCTTGAGAAAAGACAGCAACGTTATCGGGGAGGAGCCATCGAAGGTCTTCATCGTAGGCCGTATGCCTTGGCAGCGCTTCACGTATTTGCCAATTCGTCCGGCATTGTTCTCCGAGACGAGAATAGAAGTATCGTCGAGACGATAGAGTCGATAGTCGACAACGTGGCTGAACTCTTGAAGTAATATCTTCGTGGGCTCCATTCCAGGCTCAAGAGGTCCTAAATGACCGAAGGGCGTCACAGCGAGTGGCGGTGAAGGCGTTTCCGGTCGGTATGGAATCTTGTGGGACACAAACGGAGGGCCTGTGGCCCGTGCTTCACGAGCGTGAGCTTCACGACGAAGCCCATTCGGTTCCAGGCGATCGGAACCTGTAGGAAGAGGGTCAAAAGGGCGCAACAAAACAGGACTCGGTCGAGACATGTCGCGAGCGTTCGCGGACGTTGAGGATATATCCGATCCTCTCTCTCGCAGCCGATTTGCGCGGCTTCGTTGCTGATTCTCTTGAGCGGATAGGCGCGAGAACGCGCCCATCTGTTCTGCGGTCAGGTTAGTTGACCTATCGGGGATAAGGCTCTCGCAAAGGACGAGTCGAGATTCGATCGTATCGACGTGAGCTCGGAGGCTCTCAAGTCCTTGCGTGAAAGATTGGTATCGACCCAACATTAGGTCACGGAGATTGTCTCTGCAATGCTCGTGGACATCATCATAGACGTCGCTACGGAGCGCTTCTCGCATATCCTCGAGGTTTCGAAGCATCCTCTCGTACGAATCCATGTCGGGAGCACCTTGAATTGGGCGAAAGTCGGAAGCATGTTCAACGACTCCGCTCGGTTCAACCGACGGTGGGATCGGAGCGGACGGTTCCGCAGCTTCGGAACCAGCGAGGGAACGATGAGGCGAACTCATATCGACGAGGCGACGGCTGCCAACGATATTGCTTTGCGCAGCAAACGTAGCGTGCGCTCACACTTCTAGGTCGGGAGACCAGTGTAGTAGAACGTGCCGCGCTCGACCGGCTTCGGGTAGCGGGAGCTGCGACACGTCGTACTGTAGTTCGAGGCGTGCGAGACGCGACGAGTGCCATGCACACGTGTAGTAAGAACCACAGAACAAGAGAGAAGGGGGTTCGGTAGCTGGTTGGTAGAGGTTTTGGTAGAACGTTGTGGGTTCGACACAACGACGCCACGAAAGGCAGATCGACGTCCTCGACGGGGTAACTCGACGCCGTGCGGAGGCGACGCCGTCACGGAGGACGAATCCGGGCGCTATGCGGAGCGCTCGTCGCGCGTTACCCCTGCGGTGGAGTACTTTTCGTTGTACTCGATGTACAAAAAGGGAAGACGAAAACGTAGTCAGGCGAAAGACTTAGGCACAAAACCAAGGGACAAAGGGGTCGGCCCTCGAGATGATGCCACTGCGTTGATCGATGATCCCCTCGAGTCCTTCCCCTTCCCTACTTTATTATATCTACTACTGTAGTCCCCGTTCTTACAATGCCAGACTGTAACAGTACGACTACACGTCGGGCAGTAACGGTCCTGCACTTGGGCGCCAGCGAGGAACGCCAGTATCATACATTAGAAGGTATGATTCGAGTACAGTACGTACACGGACGCGAATTGCGCTGCCCAACTTACCGGGCGATAAGGTAAATACCTTTCGAATTGGGAATTAACCAATGCAGTCCTTTTCATACACCATTGGGTGTTCGAATACAGTATGTACACTAGTGGACACTTGGCGATATACCACACGGATGTAGCCGCATGGAATACCGCAGCAATGTCCGCAAACTTGCAGATGAAACGACGGTAGTAGCTTGCTAACCCAAGAAAGCTCCTAAGTTCAGTCGCAGTGGTCAGGATCGATGCATTCCGAATCATTTCGACCTTGCTCGGGTCAACTGCAATCCCACCTTTGTCGACAACATGACCGAGCAACTTGATCTTCGCCTGGGCGAAGCTACACTTTGTCAGCTTAAGCTTAAGACCAGCCTCGTCAAGCACATCAAATACATGATGCAGGTGGCGAAGATGTTCTTCTATAGTCTTAGAGAACACCACAACGTCATCAAGGTACACACGCACAAACCGCACTCCGCGAAAGATTGTATCCATCATTCTCTGAAATGTCGAAGGCGCATTCATCAATCCAAAGGGCATGACTTCGAACTTATACGTCCCGTAGCGACAGACGAAAGTAGTCATTTCTTTGCATTGTTGTGCCACCCGAATTTGCCAGTAACCACTGAACAAATCCAGAGAAGTGAAGTACGCACTTCCTTCCAAGTCATCAAATATCTCTTCTATTTTCGGCAAAGGCCATCTGTCTGCTTTCATCTTCTGGTTCAGAGAACGGTAATCAACACAGAAACGTGGATTCCCATCTTCTTTGGATACGATGACGACCGGAAAGGACCATGCGGAGCTGGAAGGCGTGATGATTTCTGCTTCCAGCATTTTGTCCAGCTCTTTCCGAACGATTTCGTTATGCAAGGGAGCCATTCTCCTCGCCGAGTGATAGATCGGATTAGTATCATCTAACTCGAAATGGTGCTTGATTGCGACTTCAGCAGGCCGAAAGTCGTCAAGGGATGTAGCAACAATACTCTTATCCATCAGGGCGGTCTCGATGACTGCTTGAGCTTCATTGTCAAGATGCACAAGTTTTCCCGAAGCATTTTCACGGCCTTGTTGATGACATTCGAATCAGGTGATTCTACTTCCTCATCTTCTCCGGTCGCTCCGTCCAGAGTTAAGTCTAGCTCGAAAGGTTCATCGCCGAGGATGGCGACAACATAGGTCTCTTCTTCCGACGAATTTTCTGAGGCGAATGACTCGACATCAGAAGTGAAGTCCTCACTATCAGTCTCCGAATCCGCGACGATAGGACTTACTTTATCAAACTCCAGACTCATTTTCATGGTTTTGTTTCCGATCAACATTCTAACAGACTGGTGACCTTGATCGATGCAGGCTTGAAGTTCTTCGAGAGTTGGATACCCGATTAAGATATCAACTGGGGATCCTTCAACAACCAAGAAGTTGAGTGAAGTAACAGCACCATTGAACGTGACAGGAACTTCCTCGATGGAACCTAAGCAGGTTGTCTTTTGTCCATTGGCGACCGTAATCTTCGTCGAGGTCGGCTTTGGAGACAGAGAGAGCTTCGATGCCACAGACGCATTCATAACGTTAGGGATAGCTCCTGAGTCTAACAACGCTCTCATTTGTGTCCCGTAGACTTGTACAGAAACTACTTTCAGACGTTTCGGCAAAGTACTGATCGAAGCAGATACGGGGCGTCTAGGGCGACTGTTGAACAAACGACGGATCTCTTTCTTAGCCTCGTCGCCATCTCCTCGAATCAGTTGACCGAATGTCAAACCAGAGGGGGCGTTCGCGAGGGAAGAAACCACGTCGTACTTCCCCGAGTGTTCTTGGACGGCGTTCTTCTTACTTGTCCTCTTCTTTCTTGTTCGACGGCCGGGCTTAGGAGGTTTCCTCATGTGGTTCAGAGTCCAGTACTTAGGCGAGTTGAGAAGGGACGGGATTGGCTCGCCGCCACCATCCTTTTGCGTCTTGGCCACCGGCTCTCCATCGGCGTTTCTCTTGACTGATGCCACTAACTTCTCATCAGCAGGGAGGTCGTCGTGCGTCACAACACTCACCTGGTTTCTTGCGGAGCCCGTCTGTGTACCCGACACGACAATATCCGTCTGGGTCTTCTTAGAAGGGTAGGCACTGCTACCTCCCCTCTGTGGACCAATTATAGCCCAACAGCTTGTTTCTTAATGACCAAATTTTCCGCAGCGAGGGCATTACGTGTCTCTATGCGGATTCGCATCGCATCTATTGGCGCCATGACCTGGTCGTTTGCAATAAGAACAAGTACGATCGTGGGCGGGGCGGAATGCTGTTGCATCATCCCTCGACTGATTCTTCTTGATAATAAGGGAAATATCGGCTAGTCGATCAGCTAAAGCGTCAACCTTCGTCTCGAGTGGAGACAAGGGAGCTTTTGAACGCATCATGACCCTTTTTGACCCACCTTGTCCTCTTGGCTCATACATAACTTGCGAGCTCTCTGACCCCTGGTAGCGCGAATTGCTCAAGGAGTTCGCCGCCGCCTGAAAGGCGCAGCGACCAGACCAGAAGTCCATGATTGCATCGAATAGGGCCTTGTAGGTCTTCGCACCTCGATAGATGCCAAACTGGGCCAACTCGAGATGTTCCATCACAGCGTTGCGAAGCAGTCCGAACTTCGCTTCGTCGTTGAATCCCGCCTTCTCGTAGAGACGGTCTGAGTTTCGAAGGGACCCACTGAGATCCCGGAAAGAAAGGCGGGCGGCTATTGCATCCCGAATCACATCTTCAGGTGATTCAACCGGGGCGAACCGCTCGACCAAGGCCTTCTTGACCTTCTGGTAGTCGGAGCCATCTGCACTGATATCTCCGTTCTTGACAAAGGCTTGATAAAAGAAGTCGAATGCATCTCCCTCCAGGTAGCGAAGGAGTTCAGATGCCCTTTCTTCGTCCGACTTGCCAGAAGTGGCAACATTCTCGAAGACGAAGAAGAACTTGTGAACGTCGGCCGGCTTCGACCCGCCAAACTGTGACAGGGAGCCGTCTTCTTTGCCACCCCTCCACAAGAGTACCATGTGGGCGGCGAAAAGGGGAGGAAGGCCGCGCACGTAGGGGAGAGAGAAAAGTTTTTTTTTTCAGAAGCGTGAAGTTTATTGCAAGAGCGGGGGTCAGTCCGGCGTGTTGTTGTTTCGTTCTGTCCCTCTTGTCGCGGGGTGTCGCGGCGCGCCCCTTTCTCTTATAGAGAGGCCGCCAGCATCTTCCACTTCCCAGGACCGCCGCCCTTCAAACGGAGATTGTCCACGTGTACACCTGGCGTACACGTAGACCAATAAAATCATCTTTTGAAGGCTTTGGTCCTGGGGCCACTCCTGGGTACTGTACCCTATACAGTACCCCAAATCTCCCCCACAGTAGGCGCAAATAAAGCACGGGTCCCAGTGGTCAGGCTTCAACTATTTCATAAACAGTATAACACTGTTTGAAGTATACCGTCGACAAGATACAGCTGATTGCCATCATAAGCGTTTATCTAAATGCTAATAATCAAGCGAGAGTTGAAGCTAGGTTAAGGAATGATGATCTCATGCAGAGCATACATGTACAGGTTTCACAACAAATTGAAAGCAGAGCGAAAGCAAAACTGTGGAAGCCGTTTACTTCGGCATACACTGTTAAACGCTCGCGGTGCAAGGCGCGGCGCATAAGGACATGAATACAACAATCACGTAACGTACTGTAGTAAACTGCAAAGCTATTCACTTCATAATCTTTCGACCTCAATAGCATTCAATGCATGCAGCATATCGAGACTTACTAACATTATAATTTGGAATTGTGTCCGGCAGTGTGATAACTTATCTCGGTTTGATAGGATATACGTGCTTAATGATACACCTGCTAAGTGACTTGGTCTGTTTACAAACATTTATGACTAGAAGAATAACTGGCAATTCTATTCAGACCCCCCCTCCCCCTCCCCCGTTCTTGCGTCTTCCTCTAGAAAATATGTCGCTGCATGGCTTCTCTAATCAGCCTTTCCTTGAGTCTCAGTACGAGTTGTTCTTCTTCATTTTCTGAAGAAAAACAGTGACATGTAGGTCCGGACGAGACCGTCCTCGCGAGTCCAAACTGCATCAGCGGAGCCTCCTACTACGGAAATCGATCGCCATTTATCTGTGAAGAACATAGTCACGAGACAGGAATAAGGCCCATGCTTGGAGAAGGAACATCAAAACTACATTCGGAAGTTTCTCGTGAAGGAATTTCCTCGATTATCCACTGAAATGTTGCATATCACTATGCTGCTATCATCAGGGGTCAAAACCCCTGCAGAGAATGTTTTCATGCATGACGTGGGAAAGGGAATCGAGTCGCTTGTCCTTTGGTCGGAATGTTGGCCTCTATGACAGACTCCACGCGAAGTTAAACAAACCTAGCGGTTTGTCCTCACCCCAAACTGCGTTTTAAGGTTCTGGCAATACGTCTATTATTGGAATAGAGCGGCGACGAGAAGAAAGCCAACTCCTCCTCCCAAAACCGTTTCAGACTTTCGCAAACAAATCGCCGAGCTTTCTTCGCCTCTGATTTCGCGACCCCATAGGATCTGCTTGAAGAGCGTGGGACTGCATGATCAACGCATTTCTGCAGTGCACTTTCCGCTTGCAGTGTAAACCCAGTGCAGTTTAATATTTCTGAAATACTGAATTCTGTAATCCATCGTCTCTGGCGGATTTTCTAGAGCCCCCTGCTAGTGTCTAGACAACCGGCAATTTGCCTCATATGAGGTCACCCTTTACCTCATATGAGGTCAAATGCTCTACAGTAAAATTTAAACAAAATTTAAGATTTTCGCAAGTATAGAACAAAAGGAGCACAATTTTTACGAAGTAGAAATTTGAACGACTATAAAGACAACTATAAACGACTAGTTAGTAACTGAAAAGCCAGCGCAGTGGTCTGCAAGGATCGCTGAGTCTTAGATGCCGGGGTTCAACTCCTCGCTGAACACTTTAGTGGTCGAAAAATCCCTTCGGGGATCTCGATGGTTTTTGTTCGTGACCTGCAGCCCAGGACGCTTTATAGCGCCCACTCGAACATGAGATTGAATACGGTGACATCTCATAAAGGGGCATTCCGACACGGCTGCAGGTCTTCCAAGCAAGGCTTTAGACGCAGGATAGAACCATAGGGGGCAAAAGGAGTTTTTTATCTCTTTTTGCTCTATTTTACTCAAATGCTGACCCATTTAGTCAGTTTTAATGGCCAAGAACGCTTTAAGTACTAGGAGTACTTACCTTTGTAAGTAAGATCGTGACGTTCGTCGACATGTTTCTTGAAACAGTCACGCCCAGTCTGGTGATGACAAAGGTATACTTCTTTGTCAAAATATACCTTGCAGGCTGAACAAATAAACTTTGACTTTTTTGTACCTTTGCAAATATTGCACCTGGATTGATAAAGAGCACAAGTCTCCTCACCGGATGCGCTTTTCCGCTTGCGAGTGGTTGGAGTTAGGTGAGTACCAATTCCACTGCCAAACCCAACATCTTCATCTTCAACAGCACTGTCTGATTCTCGCTGACGTAACGATATACGATCAAACTTGTTATCAATCAACTGGTCAGCAAGCTCACAATAAAACTGATTTGGAGACATCTTAGAACCATCTCCTTTTGCACCTGCATACAGTTTCCATGCATCCACAATTCAAATGGCCAATAAAGAAGTGTTGACAGGCATAGACCACTCCTTGACTTCGAACTTCTTTTCCAAGCCGAGGTCATCCTGACGAGATCTGTTGTGGCGGTCAATCTGAGAGCAAGTTTCATAATACTGCTCACAGGCTGAGTGAATACGGATAGACAATTCCTCTTTTCTTGTCACGCCATGACGTGTACGCCATCTCTCGCGGTAGATTGGAGTTCCTTCGTTGGATGTTTCGACAGAACTAATAAAGTATCTGCGGTCTCGTTCCACCTACATCACTGCCATGAGATGAGGCCCGGCCACCGGCTTCGAAACCAGTGTGACGTGCTCTCCCTTTTCAGCAATCTCCAGATGAGATAGATATTTCATTGGATATTTCTTGGTAGATGTCTTCACTACACCTGTGAATCTAAGACCTTTCTCATAAAGTGATTCAGCCGTGTGAACAGAAGCAAAGTACGAATCCGCGCAAACAACACGATTGGTGTGAAACCATGGCTGTAACAACCTCAAAGTCACTGCGGTTCCGTGTAAGTGGTCACTTTCAAAATCCTTTAAAGAAGTCTCCTCAGCTGAGACGACGTTCTCAATTCTTATTATGATTCCACTTTATCCACATGCAGCAGTCTTCAACTTACAGCCATTCTCGGGTTTTCGGTACATGGCCATATAATGAGGAAGACCGGTTTCAATCCAATCTCCTCCAAGTCCATACCAGCGTGACATACTCTCATCAACGCAGATGTTCTGTGATGGAATCACATGTGATGCTCTGTGATCATTGATTGCGACCATGAAGTCCCTGATCATACCCCATCTGTCATTTGAGTCAGCTGGAAAGCTGAACGTGACATTCTGACGAAGCTTCTCGAATCTTCTGCGGGAGATGATGTTTCCGAATTGAGGTTGCGGGAGATATTTGCTGGTTTCCTGTGAGCTCCAAAGAGACCTTCTGGTGCTGAATTCAATCCGAGTCATAAGGATTAGGACCCCGAAAAACTTCAAAATTTTACCTCTTGTAGTCAAGCGAAGTCCCCTTGATTCCATTGCATCGTTGGTGTAGGAAACCATTAATGCCAAGTGCTCCTGTGGGAACATCCACATGAAGTAGTCCATGGGATGCACTTGAGATGGACTGTGACCACGGGATACAATCTCATCAATCGGTCCAATCACCTTCCATCTTCTCGGCGGTATCATACCATTTAAATGCATCGTGACTTCCTCACGCTTCCAGGCCCGGCCGTGGACATTCATGAGGCCATCTTGGGAATCTATTTCGTCACTCTCGGAGATTCTCGTACTCGGGCTGAATGCTCCTTCCGGTGGCGTCACGCGGTCTTCTGTAGGCTCCGGTTGCGCATAATGGTCAGTTTCTTGATGGATATGATCTTCAGGACTGTCATCGATCAGGTCCATCACTTCACCAGCCTTGATGTTAGCTATGCGAAGCGTGACTTCCTTGACGCCATCTGATAATTCCCATTTAGCCCTGACTGAAGTGACACTGGGACCCTTCACTTTGTCAGTTTTTATGCTAATGACAGTTCCCGTGACCAACTTGATCTTCCAGGAGGCTCCATACATGCGACGACATTTACTTTGAGCTGTGAGCAGTCTTGCACGAGTGTGGACGCTGTTACCTGTAATAATTCGAGGATCATTGACGCTCACCATTTTGAAGAAATTTTGGGAAGAGAAAGACGAAAGTGTTGATTAGGGAAGATTGAGATACGGAATTGAATGTTTTCTGGTCTGCCAACGTTTAGTACTCTAGTCGTAAGCTTTTCACTACAGTAGCGATAAATTTCTACAATTATTCGAATTGCAAAAGTCCGCCTAAAAACTGGCCTCATATGAGGCCATTTGTCACCTGGACACTAGTCCCTTGGCGTGCACCAGAGACGCGTTCTTGGAGCCTCCTCCACTAGAAGTGCAGATACACCACTACCACGCCATTGCGCGCTGCAATATCGACACCTTCTGCTGATATCCGGCCAGTTCCGAGCTGTTGCGTAGAAGAATTGTCACAGAAGCTCTCACAAAAGTCAACCGGTGCGTGATACGTATAGACTTTGTCCGGACCTGTTTCTAAACTTTGTTGCGTATCGTATGCTCGCTCGGCATACTCTCATCTAATCCCCAAAGGCAAAGCGAAGTCATGCGACGGCGGCAGTTAGCATTTGGTCGCCCGACACGTGATGAGCCTCCTCTGTAAGGCTTACAATGTTCTTCATGCGTTCATACTCCTACCAGGGGAGAGGCACATGCGATGACGCTTCCACATTGCATCTTCCAAAGCTGCTCTCGAGCCCCTGTCTCTCGCGTACTATTCCAAAGCAAACCCCCCAGACAGCAGAGCATGACATCGGCGTTGGCTCCTGGAAAAGGCTAGCCGCTGTCATAGTATTTTTTTATTTTTCTAACTCAGTCATATCAGATATTGCCTAAAACACATATTGGGTGGACCAAGGGAGAGAGAGCCCGAACTTACAGCAGCACAGAATCTTTCTCCGTCTCATCCAGAATGATACA